GTACTTAGATTTACGAGTCATTAAATCATGTTTAATTTGGATTTCTCTGTGCATGCTCTTTAAGGTGGACCCCATATACCTGCATTATATGACTGACAGACAACAACGGTTTGACCTAAAAATATCAAAATTGAAAATACTGTGGAAACAAAGACACCTACATCTTGGATGCCCTCGAGGTAAGCTAAAACATATCAAAAATGAATTTCAAAGTGAACTGCACTGAATCCAGTTCCCACAACTGACTAATTTCTGACTGTGTCATCATCATTATGGTCATTGGCAGTATATATGAAAACATGATATTACCAATGAGTGTGTTTCTTTTATAGAAAATATATTGCAATACTGGAGTTTTTGTAAGTGAAAAAATAAAAGCATGACAAAAAAAGTTTAATGTCGTGTGTGGTTAAGCGCACAAAGACGAGTAATTCACAGAAACAGTCTTTAATCTACAAAACTCACAGGTAAACAGACTCAACACACCTTAACATTGACAGAGACGGGACAAAGAGCGACTAGAGGAACTAATGAGTTAATTAACCTACTGAGAAGCTGGGTCACAGTGAGAGAAAACACAATATAACCCTGACGTTTAATTAAAACATAATGTACTTTAAAGTAAAACTTTTCATGTGTTTTAAGAAAAGTGTACTTCTTTTTTACTTTTAGATATTTACATGAAATGAATATTAAAACTAATAAATAATGTCACTGACTTGCCAGTAATGGCGAAATCAAGTTATCCTTCCAGCAGAAACTCACAGGCTCTGCCAACGGTTACAGCAACATCCGGAAAACAAGAGCCCTGGTTTTACAGGTTTAACAGAAGCAAGACATTGGGTCAATAAGTCCAACAACATGCTGAAAGACCCAGTTTGTGCTAATGGGGAGTGTGCGGTTTGTCATTTATTCACCCTGTTTTCTGACGACAGCAAAGACAGGACTGAAGCAGCATGGAAAAGCCCAGAGAAAGGGAGCCAGCTGGAAATAAGTGGAGCTCCCAAAGTTCTTGGAGAATGTTGAACGTCTTTTCAACACCAGTCAGCAGTCCTGTGCAGCCATGAAGAAAGAGGTATCTCTCCTTGAATGAAACCTGCGGTTCATTCTTAGTAAATCACATAAACCTTTACAATAAACAGAGAAACACTTTTTATTTTGCTGTTGTACTAAAATATTATGACAGGGCGTGCAAAGAGTGATACTGGATGATATAAGGTGTCATATTAGTTTGGATTGTTTAGAGCAAAATAGGATATATTTACTCATGACAGGCTGGATTTATTTAAGGTAAAAACCATGGGTCAAGATTTGGTAGGTTAGCATGGTCAAGTTATTCCCTGCTTATATGCTGTAACTACATTACTTGGGTTAAAAAAGCTTCTTTATCCATCGAGCGCTGCAGAGATGACATATTTGTAAGTCAAAACCCAGAAACAAGTTGATTACTTACATCAAGACAAACAAAAAATGTATTACAAGTTTTTTGCAATTGTTTGTTAACATGGACAAATGGTGCATATGTGCTAATTTGCATAATTACCCAAACAGATCTAAACATTGGGTATAGACCCCTTTTCAGTTGGTAATGATGACGTTTTTATGTGGGCGGAGCTTAGGTGGAGGGGAGGCAGAACGATCCCTCTGGCCGCTTCACTAATGCTAGCAAGTTTTATTAGCTTGTTTTTTTAACAATGACTGGAGAAAATCAGATTTTATCTTAATGTGTAAGGTCACTCAGTGTCCAGGACCGCGATTGTTATTTCCAAAAGTTATTTTTAACGGGCAGAACCAGATTGGCTGACCCGTAGCCGCCTACACGCTCACTCAATGCATCGATCTGACAGGATTAACGTTACGTTACGTTACGTCGGGTGAGTGGCCTGACTTCTACACCTACCTTATAGAGAAACCGATCGTAAAGAGAAACTGAGGGCATATAAATCTTTAGATGCCTTAACTATGAATGGTCCTGTACAAGACTTGTGTGTATGATCCGCAGTTCTGCCGAGCCAGCGCCGAGACGACGACAATAAAGAGTGACATTTACAGTGCGGCTTTAATTATGTGAATATTTTCTAGAAATAAAAAATCCAGATACAGCATATTCATTTTTCATTGATACTTGCACCAAACAACACAATAAGATGACATTTAAAAATAATGAAAGTAATTTAAGCTCCTTATTATGTAGCCGAATCTGTGCTGGTTTGTATTGGCCGCCTCCAGTTTTCACTTTGTTTTGCCTCCAGCTAGCGCCGTGACATAACTGTTACGTCGGCGCAAAAGGGGTCTATAGCAGGTGAAAATGTTTTTTTTTATTTTTTATTTTTTTATTTTGTTGACATATAACAGTAAAAGACTTAATGTTAAGGTCTGAATGGAACCCATTTAGGCTACCCATGAACATTAATACAGGAAAAAGTACTTTAGAAAGCAGCTTTTATTAATTATTATTATGGCAGAGATTGAGTGCATTGTGTACATAATTAGATTTTTTGATCCAGACACTTTTTATTTCACCTACCTTTTGTCTTCTGCATGTTGCAGTTTCAGAGGGGTATGCATGCAGCAACAATTTTAGCGAATTGTTGGTCCCCCGAAAAATAAATGTAATGTAAGTGTGCCGTGTAATAAGTGAGTAGGAACAAATGAGAGCTAACAGATAAATTAAGTGCAAAATTGTCGTTTATTAATACAATTAAACTATAGCTACTCCACCTTGATGAACCCCCCTAAGAAAACTATAAGCTCCATTGGAACAGCAATACAAGTGTTTCTCAAGGGTGTTCGGGGGCATGCTCCCCTGTAAGAAAATGTTGTGTTCTGTAATGTTAAATTCAGCAGTGTGGTGCACTTTTAGAGTTCAAACTTAAAAACTCCAACCCATATTCAGGGTGTAAATTAAACAAAGAAAAATTTGAACCTCTTTTAGTTAGTGTCTTAGTGTCATTAAATAAATAATTATATCTGAATCTGAACTGGATTACAAACATGCTCTCAACAGGTTAGTAGTACTCACTGACAAAATATGTGACCTACTTACTGCTGTGATAAAATATGTTTTCAGGGAATTCGCGGACATGTTTTCCTGTTATGATTTATCACTATCATTGCATAATTGCATAAATCGAATTTACAATGCCTATGGCAGTTTGTTTTTTGCTGCTAGCTGCATGGGGACATGTCTTCACAGTTAAGGGCATTTTTTTTTTTAATTAAACTTGGCTTTGGATGTAAAATAATGACAAATGCTCATGAAACAAAAAAAGTTTGTTGAATTTCACTACTTAAAAAAATATGCATTAACCCTGCTTAAGATAAAGAAGATAAAGAAAGATAAATAATCCATATTCACCTTTCAGATTTCACTCCTAAAGTATTTATTCTATGATTTAGTTTTGCAAGTGTGTGTCTGCGTGTTTATGAAATCATTGGTTTGACAAAGGTCTTATTGAATAAGTGTTAACAAGTGTAGTTTTTACTTATTTGGACAGATCATCTCGTTACTACTGGCTACTGTTGCCAGGGGGGCAAATATTTCTTGTTCCACCTCTTTATTGATGTATAGCCGCCCACTAAACCCCTCTGCTGCTGATGAGTCAAATTATCCCTCCTGACGTCCTGACCAACTCAACTTTAACCTACAGAGGAATGGAGAAATCCAGAGATCTGCTCTTAAAGGTATAGTTCACTTTGAAATTAATTTTTTGGTATGTTTCAGCTTACTTCAAGAGCATCCAAGATGTAGATGTCTTTGTTTCTGCACTATTTTCAATTTTGATATGTTTAGGTCAAACCGTTCGTGTTTATCAGTCATATAATGCAGGTCTATGGTCACCACCTCAAAGAGGATGCACAGAGAAGTCCAAATTAAACATGATTTAATGACTCGCAAGTGCACATTGATGGCCTAAGACACGAAACGAGCGGTTTGTGTGAGAAAACAAACAGTATTTATATCGTTTTATCGCTTGCGCAGACAGAAGCTCCCACAACCTCAGAGTACTTGGACGTGGCTGTGATTACAAGAGGTAAAAACGATATAAATACTGTTCGTTTTTTCACACAAACTGCTCGTTTCGTGTCTTAGGCCATCAATGTGTACTTACATTTACGAGTCATTAAGTCATGTTTAATTTGGACTTCTCTGTGCATGCTCTTTGAGGTGGTGACCATAGACCTGCATTATATGACTGATTGACACGAACGGTTTGAGCTAAAAATATCAAAATTGAAAAGTTGTAAGCTAAAACTCATCAAAGTGAACTATCCCTTTAAACAACCTGAATTTGAGTGATGGTAAAAATAATGGTAACTGAAATTACTTATCTAAAACTATTTTAAAGGTATTCACATGTTGAGATTAGTTTTATCCTCCTTTTACAATTTTATAAAGTTTTTTTTGTGTGTGTTTGGTTTAAACTCACTTTATAATTAGTTAAATTGTGACTGCTTGTTTTGTGTAGCCTATTGATGGGATTTTTATTTTTTTATTTAAAATAATAATAAAACGTGAAAGCATAAGAATCGCTTTTCCTGTCATGGGTAAAGATTTTGAAAATAGTAAGCATTTGGCGCCCTCTGGTGAATATTTTTGTAGTATTATTAAGTATTAGTCTGATATTTTCAAACTTGCTGTTTTTCAAACTTCATCGTCATAGTTCCTGTTTAAAAATGTAAATTCAAATTTCAATTCAGTTTCATTACTACACTAAGTAAAAATAGTCTTGATATTCACTAAACTTAAGCCTAAGTAAAAATCCTAAACTTTTTTTTCTGATAATTTTTAAAACAAGTGAGAGAATACATGATATTATAACACAACATAGATGTTTAGGTCTAGAAAAATTCCCCCCTGACAGACAGACCAACCCTCGTGTGTTTGACATCTGGTATCTGATTGAACCATGAACCCACGAGAGATGTTGAATTGTAATGTTTATGTACGTGCCCTGCCATGTCACCTTCCAATAAATTAGACAATCATTTACCAGTGATCTCATTACAATATACAGCCTGGAGGCTTTTTATTGTCTGTTAATTTTTCACTCACATAAAAAATTTAACACTGTTAGATTTTAACAATTATTAAGCATTTCTCATTATATGTAAAATACAATGACTCATCCCTAATTTTAGTTTCTGTGTGCAATTCACATTTGTATCAAAAGTGATGGTCTTAAAGGGATAGTTCACCCAAAAATAAAAATTCTGTCAGTTTCTGGTCCCCATTGACTTCCATAGTTTTCTTCAAAATATTTTATTTTGTGTTCAACAGAAGAAAGAAACAGATTTGGAACAACTTAAATGATGACAGAATTTTCAGTTTTGGATGAACGATCTCTTTAAGTGTATAAAGGTAGGCCTGTCTGGATAACCTTTATACATGTGGTTAAAGGCACGTGTGTACAGTTGGCATGTCTGCTGCTTGTCCATGTGTGAAGACCTCAGGCCCAGTGTGTGTGGGTGTCAGGGGATCTTCAGACAGACCTGCTGCAGACAAAAGTCACATTAATAATACAATTTATTTGTAATGAATTGACATTAAAACATGCATTTTCATTAAAAACTATATGTATTGTGAAAAACACTGAATTAAAGCGAATAACTAATAATAAGATGCCTATAAATCAGCGTTCCATCACTTATCTTGATCAGAGACTAGATTAATTTATGGGAAATATATAGTGCCAGTTTCCCGCTGTTCAAGTCTTATACTTATCTGAAAACAAAGATTCTGTGATCGCACAGAGCTATTATACAGAATGACTTCAAAATACTTGTAATGTTGCTCAAAAGTCATATGTTTATGCACTGTAAGAAAAAAAATCTGTAGAAAAAATGGAAAAGGTACAAGGCCTAAAATTTATGTGAAAGATATTGTATATTGTTTCTTTTATACAGTGAAGACTACAGTATGGGGTATTTTATTATTCTTTATTTATTTTCTGTACCTGAAAACTACTGTTAGACCTACAGTAATTGAAAAAAAAACTGTAAATCACTGCATTTCATTTGTATCTTTGCTCTATTTTATTTACTTCTGCTATTGCTTGTAAGTTGATTTTCTCTTATTATTGTATTATTGTTCACTTGTCTTTAAATGATATATTAGTTAGACAAGTAGGTTTAGCTTTGGTATGGGAATTGGAATAGAGAGTATTAAAATTTAGCTGTTATTGCTGCCTGTTTTTTTTTTTTTTTTGTTTTTTCGAAACAAAACCGGTAAAAAATATTTATGACAGGTTAATTTTCTTGGCAAAAAAGTTAGTTTTTTAGGCCCTGCATTGGTACTTTTCCGCTAGGACATTATTCATGAGATTTACAGACATTTCCTTTAACTAAAACACAATTGAAATACAGCTAAAACAAGTTCATATGGATAATTCCTTCATATTAACAGTATAGTAGCCCCATATTTTGGGAAATATAGTAAATAAATCTAACTTTGTGAATTTCACAATTATATAAAAAAAAACTTAAAACACATTGAATTAAACATGAATTTTTAAATTAGAAATAAATATTTATTGTAAAACGTATTACAATCTTTGTTATATATATATATATATATATAATTATATACAGTGTGTGTGTGTATATATATATATATATATATATATATATATATAATTATATACAGTGTATATATATATATATATATATATATATATATAAAAACACAGATTATTGTAATATGTACAAAAGAAAATATTTTGCACAATGTCCATGCTGCACTTTTCCATAAAATAAATTCGGTGATCAGGAGCTGCTTAATGTAAAAAAATAAATAAAAATAAATTATATATATATATATATATATATATATAAAACGTATCACAATAATCTTTGTATATATATATATATATATATATATATATGTATTATGGAAAGGTGCTGCATGGACATTGTGAAAAATATTTTAAAATATTTTAATACTTTTGTTTCCCAGAGGTACTAAAATCCATCCAGGTTTGGAATGACTTCCTATGCTAAATGATCTCAGAATTGACATTTTTAGGGTGAACTATGCCTTTAAACTGTATAGGATTGACAGCTGGACTACCTGAGCTTGCGATACTCACAGGAGGGTACAGGGAGGATCACTGATGTGAAGTTATGCATTGGGATATGCTCCGTCAGTATTCCTCTGGAGAGGACAGACTCTGTTGCTGTGCTGAATATAAGTGGCTCGGGATTCGACTCTACAGAAAGACAGAAAAGTTACCGTTTTATTCCATTTCCAACACATTCATACTTTAACTGCAGGTAAGTCAGAAAGAGCCTCAACTCCCTCAGAGCGCTAATGGTGAGTCTTATCTTTAGCTCGAGAGCTTAGACTGAGACAGATGGACTCTGGACCGAGATCTCCCATGGAATCTTAACCAGCTCTGAGTTCAATGAAGTTTATGCTGGAAAAGTTTACAGTAACTCTCTCCATAATGTCTCAGGACCAGCTATGCTCATCTAAATCCTAGAGCTTATATACAGATCCCAAATCAGCTCTATGGCAACCCGGAGGAACATTTTATTTGTTCAGGAGAGTTTATGAAATTCTCAGATATCTTAGACTTTTGATTGAACTTTGTCTCAGATGTTTCTCCTAAAATTCCTTGGGAGAAAAATAAACATAGAAGAGACCATTTTTGACATAGAATGAGTATAGAGCTAAGTAGCATACTTTCAAAAAGAGTTATAACTGATAAATAACACTAAGGCCGTGTGTCCACCAAAGCATTTTTCCACGTGCCTGGCATGTGTTCTCAATTGTTTTTAATGGGAGTGCCACATTTAACTGTACAAGTTAACTGTGCTGCGGATATTCTGCATCATAGCAACAAAACGTCTCAACGGAAAAAACGCTGTGTTGCCAGAACGCTCTCAAGCGCCCAAAGCACGGCATCTTCAGCAGAGCGTCTAGCGTTTTCAGCTGGCTAAAAACGATTTGTTGGACACACGGCCTAATGCTACGTTCACCCCGGATGCGAATAGCGCGTCAAATTAGCGCCTACCGCGTCTAGTTTGACGCTTGACCACTTTGTGTTAATTTACACGTCAAGAGCTAAACTGATGCGCTTAAAATCAAAACAGACTGATCTCATGTAGTAGCCGTCACTGGGGTTAATGGCATTTATGACTGTTCCCTTACCATCCAAAAAAAGATCGCTCCCCAGATGTAGATGTACATTTTGCTTCGTTATACGCGGACATTTGACGGCGTGTACAGACACGCGGAATCACTCAAACGTTAATGGCGTAGACATACACGCATACACACGGATACGCGGATAGCGGCAGGCTCCTGATTGGTTAACATGGCGTGAATTGACGCCAAAGTTCATGACGCGAATTCGCGTCAAACGAGTGAATGCACAAATAGCAATAACGAAATCATTCGCGCTTAACATGCTTAATGCTCAAAATGCTCAATTCACGCCATTCGCGTGATCTTGCTGTGCGAATGAGGCGTATTCGCGTCTTCTGCGCCGCAGGAATTTTTTACGCGCGTAACGCACCTTTGCATTGACTTAACATTGAAATCATTCGCGCCTGACGCGTTTGCGTCCGGTCTGAACGCACCATAAGGCTCACTTGGAAATGAGGCCCAATGTCCAAAATTCCGAACGACCCCTTTAATGGAACTCTCTCAAAGGAGACAAATCTGAGATTCCTGGTGTACTTTTGTCAGGAGAAAGATCTGGGATGCTTGAGACTTCGGCAAGTGTCTTAATTTGCTCTCCATTTATTCTCACTGCTGGCTAGAAGATATCATTTAGATATTAAAGAGATCTCACTTATGATTGTTCTTTCCTTCGGAACAAAGCCCATCGGTTTTGTACCTGAGGCCGGCAGTGCTTCAGGTCCTCTGGTTGCTTCTTCTCCCAGGAGCATCTCCATCAACAGGCTGTCCACATTGGCTTTGCCCAAGAGACGCATGAGCTGCAGCTGCTCCACCATCTGCCAGGCCACGCTCTGAAGTGTGGTCAGCAGCAACAACAGCTCCCCAAACCGCCCTCGCTGCTCACTAGTGGACTCATCCAGCAGCACCTGGGCCTGGAATCGCAGTCGGCGCACCGCCTGGGCGCATTGCAGTCCAGGGCAATCTGAAACACAGATCGGTTGCAAAACAAAGCTCATTAAGAGATGTTTTGTGTTAAACAAAACATTTAAAGCATGGAATGGATAACTGAGATTTTTCAATGTGCAGTTTTTGTATTTCTGTGAAAATATCTTTTTTTATACGCAACAAAATGGCTGGAACTGCTTAAAGGAGGGAAAATCATGCATTCCAACTCGTAAATTGAAAGGTAGCCAATTCTTCTGTTCTAAATTCTGTCCAACTGATTCTTGATTCTAACAGGGAATGTTCTCAGATCGATCTGGCAAGGTTCTCTCAAAGTTACGAACAAATGTTTTTCCAGTAATGCTAAGAAAATCCGTACAGAGTTATCTAGTCCTTAAAAATGTTCTCAAAATGTTGGCACAAAAAAACTTTACCCACAAAAAACTTTACGACTCTACTTAAATTAAACAAAGCAATTCTTACTGACCAACCTGGCTCCAATATTATAATCAGACCTCCAGGCTGGAAAGTCTAGAACTCAACAATCCACACCAGCATGTCCCAGATATTAATAGATCCTCATAAAATATCATGAAACCAAAGATGTCAGTGCCAGGAACAATCACAGAAGCTCCTGGTTCAGACAGTGTGTTTGACTTGGAACACAGCGATGATCCCTGACTAACCTGGGGCGAAGAAGACAATGGTTTTGAGACAGACAAATTCTGTGTCTGTGATGTTCAGCTCTTTCAAAGGTCTCACCAGCTCTTCCAAGATACGAGCTGCTACCTTGGACATCTCCTGCTCGGTGCCTCTAAAAGGTATGATGAAGTCGTTTCCTGTACAAACACAAATCATGCTCACATACAAGGTAGCTAGTTTTGGGTCATTCAAATGCATTACCCTGTATGGAAGCTAGTTTCCGCCACTGAATATAAAAATAAAATAAATAATTGTGACTTTTTATCTCACAATTCTGACTTTTTTTCTCACAATTGCAAGATAAAAAGTCAGAATTGCGTGATATAAAGTCGCAATTGCGAGTTATAAAGTCAGAATTGCGAGATATAAACTCAGAATTGCGAGATATAAAGTCAGAATTGCGTGATATAAAATCGCAATTGCGTGATATAAAGTCAGAATTGCGAGAAGTAAAGTCAGAATTGTGAGATATAAAGTCAGAATTGCGTGATATAAAATCGCAATTGCGTGATATAAAGTCAGAATTGCGAGTTATAAAGTCAGAATTGCGAGATATAAAGTCAGAATTGCGTGATATAAAGTAAGAATTGTGAGATATAAAGTCAGAATTGCGTGATATAAAGTCAGAATTGCGTGATATAAAGTCAGAACTGCGAGATATAAAGTCAGAATTGCGTGATATAAAGTCAGAACTGCGAGATATAAAGTCAGAATTGCGTGATATAAAGTCAGAATCGCGAGATATAAAGTCAGAATTGGGTGATATAAAGTCAGAATCGCGAGATATAAAGTCAGAATTGGGTGATATAAAGTCGCAATTCTGAAAAAAAAAGACAGAAGTGCGACTTTTTATTTCACAATTCTGACTTTTTTTCCTCACAATTGTGAGTTTACATCTCACAATTCTGACTTTATAACACATAATTGCAAGTTTATATGTCGAAATTCTGACATATTTTCTCAGAATTGTGAGATTTAAATTCGCAATTGCGAGTTATCAGGCCAATTCTAAGGGGGGAAAAAAGTTTCCCCCCCCCGCTCAGAATAGTTTAAATCTCACAATTGTGACTTTAACACACAATTGCGACTTCGTATCTAGCAATTCTGACTTTATATCTCGCAATTCTGACATTATAACTCGCAATTCTGACTTTATATCATGCAATTGCGACTTTATATCACACAATTCTGACTTTATATCATGCAATAATGAATTCATATCTCGCAATTCTGACTTTATATCTCACAATTCAGACTTTATATCTCGCAATTCTGACTTTCCTTCTTGCAATTCGGAGAAATAATGTCAGAATTGCGAGAAGTAAACTCGCAATTGTGAGATAAAAAGTGGCAATTACCTTTTATATTTTTCATTCTATGGCGGAAACAAGCTTCCATAACCCTGTGAGCTCAGTACCTTAGTTGTAAAATGTATATTCCTATGTTGTCATACAAATAGCTCTGTTACTTAAAATGTGTTGATTATAACTTGATCAATTATTTCTAACCCTTTTCCCAATATACACAATATGAATGGCCAATGCATTCTCATCCTAGAGCGTCACATAGTGACGCTTTTGACAATGCGTATACATCCAACGCACATGGCACTCTTTAGCGTCAATATAACACAATTCGGTTATGGGTAGGTTTAGGTCTGGGGTAGGGTAAGGGTTAGACCACTAGGAGGCAAAATGATAACTGCATCGGGCGGAAACTAGCAAAAAACACTTAAAACACACACACTCACTCACTTACCCAGCAGGATGATGTCATTGTAGGGAAGTGAACGTCGTGCCACCCCTAAGATGAGGTGCTCTGCAGAATGAGCCCTCAACAGCGCCACCTGCACACACACACACAACAAGACACTTGGCGCCTGCCATATACAAGAAGTGATAGCTCATGATCAAACAAAGACAGTTGGGAACAGGCCTACCCTGTCATCCACCGATAGCTCACAGAATTCAGGGATGCGCTTGGCCCACTCCACTAGGAGGAGGAGCTGCTGTTTCATGGACTCGCACACATCACCCACGCAGGCGATCTTCTTGCTGTTGATGTCCCTCATGAGATTCTGGGAGGGATTCTGTTGACAGCAGAATAAGTAGTTAGTGGATAAAACCATAAACTGAAGCTGAAACTGGAACAGAATTAAAAATACTGTTTGAACTCTAGAAGCAAAATGTATGAGGTAAATAAGTGGTTTTCAACTTTTTTGGCCAGGTTTACACCTGGTATTAAGATGCGTTTTGGTCGATCGGATCAAAAGTGGACGATGTTAAATACAGGTGTAAACGGGGTCTAAAACATTGTGACCTTTCCAAAGGTAGTCGAAAACACATTCAACTGGATTGCTTTTGTAGTGTAAATGCTCATGTGGTCGAATCTTGAATGTGTTAAATAGGTCAAAAGACCGTCTACTCTCGTCCTACTGACCTAATGCATAAATCTTATGGTAAGCACTCTAGCCAAATGGGACTTTGTTGGTTTGGTTTGAAGATGAAAAACATAGACAAAGCACAATGTTCTCTCACCATTTTCTGATTTCTAACACACACTCACAGCGTTCAGTGTGATCTTACGGCTATCAGAGCAGAAAAGTAAGCTGATGCTCTCGATGTGTTTTTCTGTTGTCTCTAGTCGTCTTGATGAGTAAATGACGTGAGCTTATTTCGTCCATTAGATCGAAAGATCTGAAAAAGCCCATACCCACATTCATAGACCCTCCCCTCGAAGAAATCAGGACAGAAGTGGTTGAAAGTGAACAAAAGAGACAACAAAACACATCTTAATACCAGGTGTAAACAGGGCCTTTGACTCCACAAAAATATTCAAAGGCACTCTATCTCTAGTTTTGTTCTCAAGTCTTATTTTAATCTGTGAACACTCCTCTTTTCTGTAAATTAAAATTGAATTAATTTAAAAACTTCAGATTTCCAGATGTTTTAGGAGACCATGGTCTGTTTAACCAATGTAACATCAAGACAGTTGTCGAGATGTGAATTCAAATAGGAAATATCTTGATTTTTAGTAGTTTTAGCTTATTTTCATGCTTGTTTTGTCCATTTTAAGTCATGGGGTCACCTTGAAATGTTGTTGAGGCCTCCTAATCGGTGTCTCACTTAAATCGTTGGTTAGGTTTTATCATTTTATTCAATACATAAGGTATTGTATTAAAGTGTGTTTTAAAGAAAGTAATATTGTTCACAAATGCAAATGTTTTGAAAGTCAGTTGATCAGAAAGCTCACCTGAGTGAAAGCCTCGGCCTGCATCAGCACATCAATGGTGAGAGTGCCCACGGCTTGGCCTTCTCTACGACAGCTGATGCGGTCGCGCTCATTCTGAACAGCTGAAAGACATACATGTAAGCCAAGATCAGTGAAAAGATAGCAATTTATTAGTGTTTCATATAGAAAACAGATAACAATGGAGCCAGACCATGCACTTTAAATAGAAATAGTCAAAATGTAGCAAATGCTAATTTAAAAATTTTGTCACAGTTAACTGTCACAGTGTAACACCAGAAAATAACTTTGCATTTAATATTATTAAATTGCATTAAATATAATTGAATACATTTCATTTTATTGCACTTTCACTTTGAAATTTAGTTTTGGTATGTTTTAGCTTACCTCAAGGGCATCCAAGATATAGGTGTCTTTGTTTCTCCAGTAGTTTCAATTTTTATATTCTGTCAGTCATATAATGGAGGTCTATGGTCACCACCTCAAAGCGCATGCACAGAGAAGTCCAAATTAAACATGATTTAATGAGTCGTAAATGCAAGTACACATTGACGGCCTAAGACACGAAACGAGCGGTTTGTGTGAGAAAACGAACAGTATTTATATCGTTTTTTACCTCTTGTAACTACAGCCACAAAGCGCCCTCGCCCTCAGATCACTTGGACGTGGCTCTGGTTACGAGAGGTAAAAACGATATAGCCTAAATACTGTTCGTTTTCTCACACAAACCGCTCATTTCGTGTCTTAGGCCATCAATGTGTACTTATATTTACGAGTCATTAAATCATGTTTAATTTGGACTTCTCTGTGCATGCTCTTTGAGGTGGTGACCATAGACCTCCATTACATGACTGACAGAAAAGAACGGTTTGACCAAAAAATATAAAAATCAAAACTACTGTGGAAACAAAGACACCTACATCTTGGATGATCTTGAGGTAAGCGAAAACATACCAAAAATTAAATTCAGTGAACTATCCCTAACATGCAATTAAGTGTATGAAAACATTACATTCAGATTGCACTTAAAATATATTATTTCAAAGCATGTGATTTCTGTAATATTTACAAAGAATAGTAAGTACAATTTATTCGATCTTTTCAGATACCATCAGGTAGATCACTCAACGTTTGTATCTCTGGAGCTGTGTTACTTTTTTTAAATGGATGCAGCTTCATCCTACGGACAGTACACTATTCCAATAAATGGAAAGGACAGAGGACATTAGCAATCACTGTGAAACTTTAACAAGATATCTTAGCCTCATGCATTGAGCAGAACAATACATTTGAAGCTTTTAATCAGTGGCCCAGATACTTTTATATTGTTTCTTTGCTTTTCACCTTGAGAGTATAATATATGATGGATTTGGGAATTGCCTTATTGTAATAGTTTGAGTTCACCCAATTGTTCAATATCTTGAATTCACAGAGGTATGCAGACATTCATAAGTATTGGGATAAGTCCAAAAACTCAATTAGTTTATATGTAGGCCTTGTCCAGATCTGTGACCTTGAAAAAAGCCTTTAAACTCTGCATCATAAACTAAAATGAAATTGACTTCTCTCATACTTTTACCTTCTTTCCTCATGCCGGCTCTGAAACACTTTCGAAGTCTGCAATATCGACATTGGTTTCTTTTGTCTTTGTCCACCACACACTGCCTGCTGAACCTTCACACAAAGAAAGACAGAAATACATTGGATACTATAATTCTCACATTTGAAGAGATCCAATGAAACACTTCAGGTCATGCTCTCACAACTTCTGATGAAGGTTTTTTTGATGAAGACATGTGTCAGTCAACTCCTGTGGAGCTGTGAAATAACATTTGCGTTATAAGCTCTGACATCAACTTCTGATGTTGTAGGATTGCATTTAGAGGAATTGTATTGGCCTATAGTATATAGGCTTCAGTAAAAGGTCTCATTTCTTTATTTTTATTAGTTAATCAAAATACAATTGACTGTTCGTACATGTATTTCACAGTATTAAGTTAACAAATTCTCCAGTTTCACAGAAAAGGCATAAGTCCTAGAATAAAATGCATCATTGAGCTGTTTTAACTGAAAGCAACTTGCACTAACATATTATAATAATACAGTATTACAAGTAATTGTATTTCAATTGTAAATATTATGAGTATTGTTTGGTCTCAAGATCCACAACAGTAATATTTCTAAGGAATGTTTTGGCTACTTAAATGTCCAAATTAATCCTGGAAAAAGACCTGTCGGTGAAACGGGGTCACAGTTTTTTTTTTTTTACATTTTAAAAATATACTAGCACATATTTAAATTAAATAAACTAAGAGTTATATATGTTGTTGAAGTATTGTACGCTAGGCTACATTAACTAGGCTAATGGAGTTAAGAAAAATTAATGAATTAAACCTAAAGTGTTAGGGTACCCACATTTCAATTGGTTATCAATATTAATATAATTCAATGTTTCGGAAAATACTACAAAAATAATGCTATCTGTATTGTTGTAAGTTTTATTTTGTTTCTGATAAAATGCTATTATTTTGTATTGATTGATTTTATTTCTGCTTTCTTAAATTATGAATTTGTTACTTATAAAGTACTTTGTTTCCTCAAAATTAACATTATTTACCACATAAATTAACAGTTTATCGTGTTTTCTTTTTCACAATGCTACTCTCGACTTGACAGAATGGTTTCCGTGGGGAAATTGCGTGCATGCGTCACTGTGCGTCTCTCCACAGAAAGAAGGGAAAGACGTTGTTCAGGCTACTTTGACGCGTGTTGTTGGAGTTTCATAGTTGTCAGAACCAGCGAGAAAGGTTGACATTAGGCACGTTAATTCTTAAACCTTCGGGAAATCAACTGTTTTAAACAAACGCCGAAGAGGAGAGTCTTCTGGCAAAGAGAGAACGCGATGGAAGAGCACGAAATACAACGAGAATCAACAATGGCTCGACGAGAACTGAGGGATTTGAAATGTTGTAAAAACAACGTGGAGATGACATTTCTATCACTCAACAGGTTAGTACGGCATTTTCTCAAACGGATAAATTGCCATATCCCCCTCTTACAGGGTTTGTTGTTGTATCATTATGATTCTAGGTTTCTGGTATTTTTTGAAGGTATTTTTAATTATATTAAACATATTAAATATATTACATTTTAATTATATTAAATATTTCTAGTATTTTTTTCTAGTATTTTTTTCCTGGTATTTTAGTGGTTCAGTTACATCTTCAGCTAGTCAGCTTGATATCCTAAACGGATTCTCTTAAAGGAGTCGTTCAGTTTAAAAAATATGCTGATAATTTACTCACCCCCCTGTCATCCAAGATATCCATGTCTTTCTTTCTTCAGTCGAAAAGAAATTAAGGTTTTGATGAAAACATTCCAGCATTTTTCTCCACATAATAGACTTCAATGGGAACCAAACGGTTCAAGGTCCAAAAGACAGTTTCAGTGTAAACTGTTCAAAGGGCTTTAAACGATTTCAGACGATGAATAAGGGTCTTACCAAGTGAAACGATCGCTCATTTAAAAAAAACCCCAAAAAACCCCCCAAAGTTTAAGTTTTATAAGCTCAAACTTGCTCTGTCGAACTCGTTTATCAAAATGAACAAATCTTTCAGCAAAAGTTTTTTTTAAAAGTGAACTACTAAACCAAGGACTTGTAAACGTTTAAGGATAATGAGTAGTAACCATACTGTATTCATCTACACAGACCTGAAGCGCAACCAACACAACATTCTTCTTCAAAATGCATAAATTTTTTTTTTTTCAGCTGCAAAAAGGGCCATAGTGTAGGCTACCTTTAATGCCCGGGTCACAGCCAATGTATATGTGATCCACACTGGCTGTCATTGTGCTCTCAATAAGTATCAGATAACAAACAGTAAGTTGTCTGAAATCTTAATTCATCTCCAAAGTGATTTTTCAAACCCTTCTATTGGCTACTACTCTTTCTGCTTTGTATATAACATCAATTCACACTAGCAGGTTTAGAGATGAATTAAAAGTGAATGGTAAGTGTGTAAAGCGGACGGTTATGAATCTGAAGGTGAATGCTCACCTGCATGTGTAGGCATGATTCTTGCGCACACTCCTTCTAAAGAAGCCCTTGCAGCCATCACAGCTGGAAGCACCATAATGTTTTCCCGTAGCTCTGTCTGCACAGATAGCACAGAGATTCATGCTGCTCTGCTGCGGCGCAGGCACTGCGGCTGATGGAGGTGCATGGCCTGGTATTAGTGGATCTTAGTTGGAAAAAGAGTGGAGAAAACAGATTTTGATGTATGAAATATCAGCTTAACTACATGAGTACCGCTCAAAAGTTTGGGTTCTGTTAAATTTACAGAGAAGTCAAGAATACAAGAAGTCGAAGCTTACAGAGGCTGCATTCGTTTGTACACCCCGAAATTAATAAAAGGGAAATGAAGTGTTCAGATGCAAAAGCCTCTAAGTGCCATTTGAAAATTTCTTCTAGAATGATAATTTTTATCAAGCTTGTATATTTAAGTTCAGTGATTTCACTTAAATGGCAATGATAATTACCTATTAATTGTTATTTAAGTGAAATTACTGAACTTAAATATACAAGTTTGATAAAAATCATCATTAAAGAAGAAAATTTCAAATGGCATTTAGAGGCTTTTGCATCTGAACTCTTCAAATATTATAACAAGGTTAAATAACTGTTTTCTATTTCATTATTGATGTAGAGTCACATATGTACATTTCATTTTAATTTTACTTAAAGTTGAGGAAACCAAAGTTGCAATTGTCTTGAATATCGTATACTGTGACACAGTGACATATCTGAGATAAATTGCTTCTCGAACATGAAAAAATGTGTGGGTCCATGGGAAATTAATTGGATGCTTGTGATTTGCTATTGGTGGATATCATGCGAGTTATCGCTGTTAACGGGAGGGGATTCAGGTGAAGTTATTTTGATATTAAGATCACGAGGGCACATGGATTTAAAAAAAATGCACAGTTAAACACTGCAATATTCAATAAAAAATACGATTTTTCATGGTGACTTTAACACATTTTAATGTGGGAGGGACAACATTGAACTTATCTGAACTTTCGCTTAACTACTGTATATATTTTTGCTTGAAGTTAACAATATTGCTAATATTTAGTTTTTTTCCACATTTAAGACTGAGATTGAGATAGTTGCCAGTCCCCTTGTACAGACCCCTGATGTAAATGATTGCAATTTTAAGTCGGCGGAGGAAATGTGTCCAATAACCGAGTGGGTCATCCGCTCCGAGTCAGAGTGTCTGTACTTATTACTTGGCGAAAGAGAAACTCCATTTAATTAAACAGGTCAGTGAAAATACTCAGTCTACATCTATTTCCTAGGTAATTTCGCAGTGTTAGCTAAAATTTAATTCAATTCCCTCAAGTGTTGCATTAAATTGGCCTCTGAAGTTGATTGCCACCAGTTTGCATCCCAAGCCAGTGAACGTCACATCTTCACTTAGGCGATGCAGGATTAAAGCCTAATGTATGCAAATAATAACCTGCACTTTAAACCCACTCAGAGAGGTAATATCCTCTAACATAGAGAACGCCTCTGGGTTCAAAGGCCAGTTATATTATATTAAGAGTCTGCAACGCTTCTGGCACCCACGCATGTGTGCTTTGGTAAGATGGATCCAATATATCTGAATCAGCAGTGGTCCTAATGATTATAGAAAATGAGATTATAATGGAAAGCAGGAACAGGTTGAAGTGGTGTGTGCACAGGCTTTTTGGAAAGTCCTCTTATGGTCAGATAGTAATTGAAATAGCAGCATCTCATGCTATAGGACCTAATGTCATTGTGAAGTTCGCTTTTAGTGCTCTGCTCTGTGAGCAAATGGCCTAAACACTCAAGTATGGAAGAGTTTAAAAATGAGAATGGTTAAACACATGCTCTACTTGGCTTGCATCACAGTTGTCCGTGTTCATTGGCAGCAGACATGCATACAAACTGCTGACAGACCGCTTTTAAACATTTATCTTTGTGTTTGTTTTAAGTCAGCCGTGCATGTAGTGTATATGCAACTCAAATGCAATATCAATCATATTCAAACAAGTCTCCCCTGCTGAAAAGGCCAACTTTCCTGGTCCACAGGATAAATTGTGTTTTGGAAGCTGGTCTCTAGAATGGGATGCTATGGTGCACCAGGATAGGTCAATGACAGGGCACTTATATGTTTTTTTTTATCTATACTTTAAAAAAAAAATCAAGAATGTCAGGGCAAATGTCCTGATATCATAATGAAGAAAATTCCTCATTAAAATAATTATATTAAATTTTTTTTAATATTATTATTTCTAAAAAATTAAGTCATGTGGTACATAAAACAGAAAATGATGAATCCTAAAGAGAAACCTTGAAGACCCTCATGACTGTATGTGAAGGTCAATATGCATTTTAATAAAATATTAATACAATATTTGAACTTTTTAACATGTCAAGGCAAGATTAGTTCAGGTATGAAAATGTCACGTGATGGCCATAAGCTTTATTGATATGATATTTATTAATAATCCATGATATTTTTTAGTGCTGTCAAACAATTAAAATATTTAATCACGATTAATCGCATTAATGTCATAGTTGGCCACATTTTAATATTTTTTTTCTTATTTAAATGCTCTTATCAACATGGAAAAGTGGATCGGCTTGCTTTGTTCAAATGTTATTTATTGCCATATACTGTGTTCAATTTCACACCAATGTTCTCACTTGGAGAAAATAAACTCTCAATGTAATACTGTCCATCAATAAAAGGGTGAAAGAAATATTAACGAGGTCCTGATATTGACGAGGGGGCGGAGAATTCGCATCAGCTTGTGTGTGTGTGTGCTTGGCCATCATCAAGTGGTATTTCAGACTGGACGTCCTGTGATGATGATAGCTCAGTTCACAACGACAAAACACACAGAACACTTTGGTCTCGTCAATGGAACTATTTGGCAACTTTTTTAAAGTAAACTTTCCATTCAGAATCTTATTGGCATCCATTTCGTCTCGCACTCGTCATCCACTCAAAACTTTACTTTATCTAACTATTTGGCTGGCTCGCAAGCCAATCAAGTGTGTGCGGCGTGTCTGTTGTTTTGTTTCCGGTCTAGCTGGATCCGCTTGCACTTCGGACGAAGCAACGAAACATCTTCGCGCGGAGCAAGCCTTTGAAATGAGTGGGTTTCATAGCGCAGCGCCACGCATGCCAAGTCCTGTTGCAATAGTATGTGAAAAAACTAAAAAGTTTGCTAGGACAAAAAGACCATTAATCGCGCAATAAAAAAAATTGACGCCGTTAAAATGGGTTTGCGTTAACACCGATAATAACGCATTTAACTAACAGCCCTAATATTTATATAATAAATTCATTTTACCTTGAAAAAAATTATCTCAAAATACATTAAAATTGCTACAAAGGTTTTTCAATTTTCTAAAGAAATTTCCTTTACTTTGTCATGGGCACTCTTATACAGTAAGTCAGTGACCCAACTAACTAAACCAGCTAGACTTCCTTGATTCATTAGAAAGACCATGCAGGTTTACATGGTTAAGCTGGTTCACCAGCACACATAGACCAAGGCTTGTCTTCAGAATTCATCACTGTTATTTTTGCGTCAATAACTGGGTAATGAGTCAGCAGACCAAAGGTTAGACGTACCTGTTTGTACAGGGAGAACACGAAGACCGTCAAACTCTAGCATGGTGAATGTAGGGTCCAGGGTTATTCCATAGTCGGTTACGCTCATGTCGAGTGAAGTCCCAGAGATCTTCATGGTGAAGTCTGGATTCGGCCTGTATCTGAGAATCACAAGCGTTTCACTCAGCGGCTTTTTGAGTCCATCCAAGCTTGTCTCAGCATATCATAGTGCTCTTGGATCTATTACTTTGCCCTTCCTTGTAAATGGACTTCAAATGTTGGAATCACATAGACGTCTTCCAGAGATCGTTGTTCAGCCATACGTTGCCTGCATCCAGAGACTGAAGGTGGAGCGCTTTGATTTACTGAGAAAACAGTAATTAATGTCCAAGACTCATCAGAGCTAGACTGATAGACATGCTGAGATTTTGTCAAATGTCTATGTGTTTGCTGTTCTCTTATCAGTGTAGAGGGAATCATAAAGGGGAGGGTTCTGGATCAGGTAAACATGACTCACTTTTCAGTGGGAAATGATATCAAGCTCATATGTATCAGCTTAGTTTTGTTGGTTTATTTGCTTTGAGTTTAAAAGACGCACCTTACCACGAGTAGAACAGAGGCCGACAGCAGGATCGCAGACGTTAGATGTGTACATGTGTTAAGTCTACACAGTGTTTTGGTGGCCCGATGCCTATCTTCTTTCTTCAAGAGAAAAAAGGTTTTATTTTCAAACTTTGCCCTTTTGGTACATTTGCTATCAGGTCAATGGTGCTATTGATCAAAGGCAACATGATAACATGTTATTGAGTTACATTCCTTCTCTTGTGCCACATTAAAATTGGATCACATTGCTGATGATACAATAAGATCACCTTGAGCTCTTTCACCATAATTTTAGCTATCAACTAAATCAACAAGAAAACTGTTCTGTGCCCCCCCCCCAAAACATTCTTAAATGATTCATTCTTAACATTCTTAACATTCTTAAAACATTCTTAAACATTATGTTTCTTAAAACCTTCTTAAACATTCTTAAACCTTCTCAAACATTCTTAAAACATTCTAAAACATTCTTAAAATAATTTTTTCTTTGTGTGTAAAACCTTTGATTCCATTGATATTCTACGTGTAACCTAGCTTGGCTAACGTCAGACCCAAGTCTGGTATCTTGTATTCTTCTTGTATTTGAGGTGTAGTTTACGAATGCCCAAAGCCATTTATTGGGTGCTAAGAATGTCTATCAAATGCGCCTGTCTGTAGAGATTTCTACGACGCATGCGTCGTAGAAGAATTCTTATTCTACTCTGATTATACTACAGTACTTCTTGTTCAGTTCTCGCGCATGCGTCTTGGAAATTTCTTGAACTCTCGTCTCAGGCCTACAAGGAAAAAAGGAATAGTCAAATAAAGTCTTTATTTTTGTTGTTTTTTTGCACAAAAAGTATTCTCGTCGCTTGATAAACTTATAGTCGAGCCACTGTAGTCATATGGAATATTTAAACATTTTCTTCAATGATTTTCTGGGCCGTCAAGTTTCAATCCCTTAGGGTGCCTATGTGGTAGTGATACAGTGATTTTCGGCCTAGATGAGGCGAAAATTTGGTCCATGGTATCCAGACTTCCTAGCAGCGTGAATAAAATTGCGCTGCGGCAAGGCAGTATGGGGAAACCCAGGCCATAGATAACCATAGATAAAAATGGAGAATGTTGTTTAGGGGATTTAGGGAATCCATACACACCCCTTTGAAATAAATTGTGTTCCAGTTTTGTTCTGCCAAAAACATTGTTTTTGTTCCTTTTAAAAAAGTCCTCCAACACCATAATGAAAGTTATTTCAGAACCAAGCGACCATCTCATCATGACAAATGCACTGGAAACTTTTTTTGCTCTGTTTTTCTGAATTAACGAGTTAATTTTTCATGAGATTTTTTTTGCTGCGTTTTTCTGAATTAATGAGTTAATTTTTCATGAGAAAAAAATTTTTTGCTCTGTTTTTCTGAATTAATGAGTTAATTTTTCATGAGAAAAGAAATTTTTGCTCTGTTTTTCTGAATTAATAAGTTAATTTTTCGTGAGCAAAAAAGTTTTTGACAGAGCAAAAAAAGAATTCCATGAAAAATTAACTCGTTAATTCAGAAAAACAGAGCAAAAAAAGAATTCCATGAAAAATTAACTCGTTAATTCAGAAAAACAGAGCAAAAAAAAGTCCATGAAAAATTAACTCGTTAATTCAGAAAAACAGAGCAAAATAATTTTTTTCTCATGAAAAATTAACTCATTAATTTTCCCCGTCTAATTCTACAGACATCCATATTAATGAAGCAGCTGTCAAATGATTGATCATCGAATACGCTCTGTGATATGTTGCAGCATTAAGTTTGTAGTGTTACATTTGCTTGTTATAGTGTTTGGTTCTTTTCTTTTTCTTATTGTGAATGACAGTAAAGTGGCACAGCTGAGGCTGGTACTGTAGATCACATGTGTGCCCATATATGTGAAGTGTCATAGCAGAAGTGTAGGTCATCACATTAATTATGAATATGTTCCACAGACATTTGACAACCAGAGAGTAGTTATATCAGTGTTTCTCAACTGGTGGGTTGTGGATTGTGCTGTCAAAGAAACAACAACAACAACAAATAGAATTCTAAATGTTTTTCTGATGCGAGTCTTTAATTTTGAAAGATGTGAGTGAACGCTGTTGACTTCTGTCAGTCGCAGTTCAAGTAAAACGTGTAGTCCTGATTCAGGATCTGCTGTCAAATTATATTTTGTCAGGGTATGTCAGTGACATTATTCTATTTTTGTAGATTATTAAGAAATAAAAAGTAGGGTTGGGTATCGTTTGAATTTGAACGATTCTGATTCCGATTCCTTGTTTTGATTCCGGTTCCTAACGATTCTCGATTCCGATTCTTTTAAGAGGCAGGGTCAAAAAAGTTTAGCTAACCTTGCTAACCAACGGCCTTTCTGAAGGAAATAATCCTTTCTGAAGGAAATACTCCTGTAAAAATACTCCTTTTGTCACAAATTTTGCATTTTGCCGAGATTTCGTTATTTTTAGAAAAGTGAAGCCACACTTTGGATCGCCGACGTAAGGTACTCATGTTTGACTCGCGTGGTTATGCCAACACTTCCGTTAGACGCTTCTTCGTTGGTGTTGTTCAGCGGTTTCTTCTTCCGCTCGGCGGACTGTGAATATCGAAACTAGGAATCGAAATTTTTACTTTTGAACGATTCCGGGAAAAACGAAAAGTTAGTCTCGGTTCCAATCGATACTCGATTCTCGATACCCAACCCTAATAAAAAGTCTCTCACCTCAGAAAAAAACAAAATTTCCTGTCCTGTCAGACGTTCACTAACTCTCTATCCAGCTTTTTCACAGACGAGGCTTAAAGGTACAATATGCAAGATTTTTCGCCACTAGGGGTCGCTAACCTCTTACAATAACAAAGGTGTATATTGATGGACTAAATTCCACATTAAACTGAATTATGGATCTTGTCGTCAAGCTGGATTTTTTATGGACGAGTGAATACATTGATGTTTTTAACATGACTGTGGTATGAAGCAGGGCCCGAATCGCGCGATTGCTAGACGTAAACAAGCGCCACACGCAACGCGAGTCCCGCAGATATAAAAGAATAAGGACATTAATGAACTACACGCAAGTGCTGAATTAATACTCTCACAGGTCAGTTTATCAGACGAATTAAACTTGAGGTAACGCAGCGCTGTTTCACTTGCTCCAACAGTTACACTATCACTCTAAACGGCATTTGAGTGTGTTGAATGTTGTTAGTTAGGTTGTGTGTTGGCTGTATGAGACTAAGCAAGCTAGATCAACATTAGAATAACATTTAGATCATATTCTAACATTTCATCAAGTTGAACTAAATAACATTAGTTTTATGTACATTTGCTCACCTGTCTAATAAAGTACATGAAACACTTACACGACTCTGTCGAGTTGAAGTTAGTCACGGACGTGGAGCTCTCGGCATCTCGAAAGATGTTGATCTTCGTTTTAGTCCTCTTCTTGTCTCAAAGTCTGCTTGCCATGGTCCATAATGTATGAACAAAACAACAACAGCGTGAGCATCCTGCTAGGCATAACGGGCATAACCCGGTTGTCAACGTCTTTCGCAATGGTTACTATGGCAGTACGAGGTCAAACCTGGCGGAAACCGGGGGTAACGCGGATATCACGCTATTGACTGGCGACTTGCTCACACTCCCCGTTTCATTTGATTAAAATCGCAATTTTCTCACGATTTAAAAATAGTTTGAAACATTTGGGATATTGTAAGTAATCAACTAAACAAAATATATAACATTGGCCTAGTGGTTTTTTGAATATTTTACTGCAAAAATCTTACATATTGTACCTTTAAGCTAGTGCCAGACTAAAATATATGTTTGAGCTGTCAGCAACATGTACTGACCTATCTTAAAATATGTTGTTGTCATTATTTTGTCTCAGGATGCTCACCAGTAATGTTTTTTTTTTATAAGGCAAGCTTAAAAAAGCTATGTCCTGAACTAAGACCTAATCCTGGCTTAATCTAAACCCTGTCTGTGAAACCAGGCCTTTATTTAAAAAATGATGGAAATGACGTGCATGCAACGTATGAAATTACTAAAAAGTGCCAATACATTTTGTAACTTGTACATCGTGTGTTAGCTGGGAAGAATTACCATGCATCCTGGGATGATGTTCATTATGTTCATCAGGATCAGTCCATATGTTTTATTAGCTAACCGTTTATGTTAGTATTGTGCATTTAAAATATTAACTTCCGCATCCTTTACCCAAATGACCACTTTATTTTCAGTTTGTGCTTATTTTCTGTATTTTTCACGATTTTGGTACCAACTTACATTTATTGTATTAACAAAATCTAGTTTGGGACTGATTTACCTTAGGCCTACTTTTTATTCAACAGTGTTAGTAATAATCTTACAACTTATGTCTATGTTAAGTATAGAGGGAAAGTACTTGTGTGCATGTGCGTGTGTGTAAACCTCTTTTGAAAAATACATTTGCTTGGTTCAAATTTATAAAAATTTGGGACAAGGTTTAATGACCATGGTAAAATGCAGGTCCCATGGGTCATTTTCTTGAGTTATAAAGCAGTGATTTCTGAAAGGTGTGAGGGATGGGCAACGATTAATCGCGATTAATCGCATCCAAAATAAAAGTTTGTGTTTACATGATATATGCATGTATATATTTAAGAAAAATGTGTTCTTAATATATCAAATATTTATATTTATACATAATATTAATTATGTATAAATATATATAAAGTATATACATGCAAATATTTCTTAAATATATACATGTATGTGTGTATTTATATATACAAAATAATTATACACACCACACACGCATGTATTACGTAAACACGAACTTTTATTTTGGATGCGATTAATCGCGATTAATCGT